AAAATAAAGTAAAATAAAATAAAATAAAATAAAATAAAATAAAATGAAATGAAATGAAATGAAACGAAATGAAACGAAATGAAATGAAACGAAATGAAAGAAATGAAATGAAATGAAATGAAATGTAATGAAATGAAATGAAATGAAATGAATTGAAATGAATTGAAATGAATTGAAATGAAATAAAATAAATTAAATTAAATTAAATTAAATTAAATTAAATTAAATTAAGTTAAATTAAATTAAATTAAGTGAAATAAAAACGTATGAAAAAAGAAAACTAAAAATATCAAAAAAAGAACTAGTATAAGGAAGGAAACTGAATTAAACCGACATGAATTAAAACATAATAAAATAAAAGCAAAATAAGACTTAAAAAAGTATACAAAAATATAATAAAGAATAAAAAAATAGCATACGAAATTAAAATGAATAAAAAATATAAATATGTAAATAAGTCTCGTAAAATATACAAATGTATATGTACGTATGTCTAAATACCAACTGATCAGGAAAACGCTGAAGACCATTTTCCTAAATAACCAAAAAAAAAGAATGAATAAAATAAAAATAAACTACAGCGAACGTAACGGCTATTATCTTAATAATAAAAATCATTTAACCGTTAAAATTGGATTTATATTTTTCCTGTCAAATTTACCCTTATTTTATGATTTTTATTTTCCGATAAATTTTTTACCGATATTTTCAGTTTTAATTTTTTTGATCATATTATAACCATTGTTTTCAGATTTATTCTTTTTTTGATAATAAGAGATTTATATCGGCCATAAAAACGTAGCCCCCAATGAATAAAAAATCCAAAATAACGTTTATTTTTGATCGAAAACTATCGATTGATTTGACCTAAAAAAATAACGATTTTGCATTTATCTAAAAATAAAAATCTTGATATTAATCCCTGCATAATTATAGTTTTTAAAATACGTACTTAACATACACGATTTTAAAAAATTTTCAGATTACGGGTGTGAAACCCATTTTTGACACAAAGAATAGGGAATTTCAATAATTTTTTTTTTGCCAAAAATCCTTGTTAAATCCATTATCTGGTACTATTGCGCACACCTACACACGTTTACACTCAGTAAAATTTTTCATAGTGTATTAGTCATCATGTATCATCAATTGCCAACGGCACCTGCAACATGTCGCACATGCCGAATACATCTATTGCAACAATAGCAACAAAAGTAAAAAAAAAAACAATAACAATTTCGCGCAGTTGCAACTTATGTACATATGTATGTATGTCCATATATGTTTGCATGTATGCTTGCATTTGTACTTTTATTTATATAAAGAATTAAACAAATGTATAAATTCACTTCCATGTGGTTGGCTAGCAGGCCGACAGGCGAGGTCAATTTGTATTTGGCACATAAACAGAAATAATTGCAAGTACATATATAGTATATGTACATATGTACATATAAACATTCATACATACATATGTAGATCCTAGTACGGATGCCTGCCCTTTACTGCATTGCAGTTAGTCCTTACTACTTGGCGTATTGCTTATTTTGTTAGCAATTTCACAACACTTTTGCAATTTTCTTGCAACTTGTATTTTTTTGCTGCTCTCGATTTTATTGGGGGTTTCTCTCTTAAATGTTTGCTATTGTTGTTGCCATTTTCTGCCACAATTCACTTTTTGTAGCTGCTAGTGTTTCACTTTGTTTGCTCATTTCAAGGATGTACCATCAACTAGCACTTCCTCATCCTTTCACACACACAATCATACTCTTCGCTTTGCGCTCTCTCTCCCAACACTTTTCTCCCAGTTCATTTCTGCTTTGCTCATATTCTGTACAGCGTTGCCATTTTAGCCGTTTTCCGGCTAGATTTAGCCGGTATTGATAGCAACTAGCCGGAGAAAATTCGATCTAGCCGGCAGCCGATTTGTTAGCCGGTTTGAAAAAAAAAGTTAGCCGTTTTTAGCCGATTTTACTATTTNGTACTGTATTATGTCATCATTTGTGGCAACTGCTTAGCAAACATTAAATCGAAAACAACAAAAGTAGCAAACTTTAGTATTAGCTGAGAGGTGTTAACCCCTTTGCGAGCAGAAAAAAAAACTGGTGGGCAAATATTCGCTCGCCCGTTTGTTTGGATCGATGACGACTGTCGTTGTTGATTTGTTCGTGATGTATGACTTCATTTTTATTCGACCACTAGTTAGTGGTGATATAAAATAAAAACAGCGAAAATATTAAAAAAATAATGCGTAATAAAAGAAAGTCAAAAAGTACTGTGCGAATGAAAATCATAAAATAAAAAAGTTCAATAAATTATTCACGTATGAGAATTGTATGACTGAATAAAGTAAGTGAGTTGTTGATGATAGGAGCAAATAATATATTATATATAATAGAGGTATTCTCGGAGTCTTGGAAAGGCCTGGCACGCAGTGTTGCCAGACAAATTTTGTCTTCCAGGTCATGATTAAATCTTAAAATAATTATAAAAAGGTTACTGAAGCTGGAAACAATTTTTTTCTCTAGAAATATCTTTATTGAAAATTTTATAACAAAAAACAAAAACAAAAATTTGTTTATTAAAATTTTATTTGTTATACAAAGTCATAACACATTTAATTAAAAAAAAAACTTTTTTAAATAATTCTCTACATAAAGAATACCACTTAAGGTGGTGGTTTCCAGCTTAATACGAATTTTTGTTTTGTTCAAATTTATTTGAGAATAAGCACTCTCCGGATCTTTGCATTCATCCTCGCTATTGGATAATGATGATGATGTTTCTATAAAGCTAATTATAGAAAATTT